GAATCGAGTAGTGGAAATTCTCAATAGATTATTTACTTTAAAACTTAATTGCACAGTCGGTGGCAGATCCACATAATCCCAATTTCACAATATTATATCAATTATAACATTGCATTTACGATAAAATGATATTTTGAAAAAAATACAAGTCCAAAAAAAAATTATAACGTTACAAGTCGCGTGGAGGTCAATATGACCCATTTCAACTTTGATGGATATTTTAAGTCATACATTTTTTTTTCGAAGGTATATATTATGAAAATCGATTCAATATTACTATAAAAACCATTTTCTAAATTTATATCTATGTACACCTTTTATGCAATATAATGCATCCGTTTTTATTTATGTGGGGGTATGCTAGACCCCCACGCGACTGATTAAGGGTTAAGAAATCTTTATACATTTAATGATTAACCAAAGCACTATTGTGCCTATGCATTTCATTTATACAGGCGATAACCGTACTACGATAAGAATTAAGCGTACCTGTATGACATCTTTAACATAATGACATAAAAATTATACATTTTTTTTTTGTCCTATTGATAACAATACTTGATACATTAGTAATAATATTATCATGTTAATTACAAGTGATTTTTGAGAGAATTTTTATACCCATACAAATGTTATTCTGTGTGGGTATAAAAATGTGTTAGGTGTCCGTTTAATACTTAGTGATCTTAGTCGAAATCATGAATCGGAAGCTACCGAACGTTTGTCCAGATATTGTCCCAATCTCCTTAAATATTGTTTTAATTACCTGAGAGGAGGAGACAGGCAACCGTGTACCTAAGTTATTAGTCAGATATTATATAATAAAGTTAAACTATTGTTTTATGTCAACGACAAAGGAAAGTTATATTTTAAATGTTCAATAAATATAAGTTTTATGTATTGTACAATACAACTGACCTGAATCCTAGCACAGTTGGTTAATAGGTATGTCCAAGTGGCACGGAGATGGTTAGCTATGATGACAATTGACGATAGACAAATCGTTGAACAAAATAAGTTTAGTTATTAATAATATAAATAAAACAAAAGTGATAGTATCGAAAACTATGTCTATAACGCCCACTCAAACCCAACTGCCCTTTGGTAGTTTGACGTTAATAGCCAACCCAACTGCATTGGCTCCTGATATGTCACTCAAAACTACTTCTTCTTTTGAAACACCATTTTCAACGGAAGGAGAACTATCACTGATGTTGATATTTAAAACAAAATTTCTTTATTAGTTTTTCGCATTCTGATAGAACGCCAAAATAAATATTTTCCATCTCGTCTCTAAACTTTTTCGTTTTATTAGTAATCGCAGTAAGTTCTTCCATTTCAGCTTGAACTAATCGCAATCTTGCCAGACCTCCAATATCCTATCTCGTCACAGTATTATTTGACTGGTATCAATGTTTTCTTCACCACTCTTTCTATCAACAAATGGTACAAATCCAGATAGTTGGCGTTTGTATTGGCCGCGATGAATATTCAGCTGTACTTGATCTGCCATAACGGTTGATATCTATACAGATCGTCAATCGAATAACGAGATTATAATAGCACTCTATTGTATTAAATGAACTATATAGGCTTTCGAATAAAAAAAACAATGATGTTCCTATAATAGCACACATTGCAAGACTTCTGGACATTTTTACCGCAACACCAGTAACAGCACGTGATGAGAATTAAAACTAACGAGTCTATTCTTTAACAAACCTCAAACTAATTACGAATCCTAAATTGATATACGATAAATAAAAAATAAAAATACGAAACGCACTTAATCGAAACAAACATACGACGACGAGCACGGCGATGACAAACTTACAAAATCAAATTATAAACTAATTAATGGATGCGGCACGATGGACCAAATGTTGCCAAATGGTTTAATAAATATAATAAATAAATAATTCGTAAATTCAAATATTAAATAGTGGACTGTATCGTGTTTATTATAAATTTACTTATAAGCCGGCGATTTGTCCGCGTGAGTGCTTAGATTAAACATTGCTGTCTATTACATTGACCATCATTATTATTGTTATCGCTTCCTATCATATTAACAAGCGCGAACAACTGACTTTAATTAATTGAACATCCAATTTTGCTGAATATGTGAACTTATACCTTATAGTTCTTTTTACAAAACTCAAGAGTGGTTTAATATTACTTAGACCTTTAAATTAAAAAATGTAGAAAGGACAGTGTGCGAATATTAGACTACTTATTTAAAAAGTATTTTCTACTGAACTACGATTACTTACATAAATACAGATAAAGAAACAATAAAAAAAAATGTAACAAGCGAGAGAATAATGTTAATTAAAAGAGTTTCGGAAAATAAAATGGAACTATGATTGAAGTACTTAGACATACTAGGGATTTGTTCTGTCGGAGGGTATTCATAGGAAATATTTTTATCACCTTGTTTATAAGGAAAAAAATTGTATTATCGCCATGTAATTTACTTTGATGGTATCTACCGCTTTATCCCCTTTAATTATGTTTTTGTTAAAGTATTTTATACTCATTTTTATAAAAATTAGAAATAAATCCCAATCACTCTTAATGAATGGGTCAGTAAAAATTGTAATTTTTATTAAAAACATTATTATTATGATGATGATTATAATCGTCATCAAATTAGTTTAAAATGTAAAATGTACATTTAATCTTCCGTTTAAAATTTATGTGTTATCGATTTTAGACTAATCAGCTTCTTTTCTATGTCTGCCCATAGTATTACTACGCTTTCACTGGACTGATTACGATGATTACTATGCTAGTAAGAAATCGAATTAAATCTATATGAACATATTGTATTTAAAAATTAAAAAAAAAGAATCCTTATATAAGTATTTACGATAGTGATGTTAAACAGAGTCGAATATCAATCTATAGTACAGATTCTATACTCTTTAGTCCACTTTAGCGGACCTCCACAATACTGCGTTCTGACTTGAAATGTGCAAGATTTTATATACATTTTTTTTATTAATTTTTTTTTCACGATGAAAAAACCCAGCACAATAGTGTTTCGGTACAATGAGAACAAGTATAAATGATATCTGACAATGATTACCGTCACTATTATAAAAATGTCTTCGATGCAAATCTGTAAATAGTGATTAATTTAACAATTGCATTATAATCAGTGTATTTTTGAAAGAGTTATAGCAAAATGAAAAAAATGACGAATTTTTATTGAAATTTCGCTATTGTTGACTTAAAAGTAAAATATACTTAAAAAAAATAATAATGTCGAGAAGTTTTACTTTTTTTCATCACAAGGCACTTTTTAAAAGTTTTAACTTAATATATGATTTATGAACGTGCACGTCCTGGAACATTTTCAAAAATTGATAATATTGTATTTTTTTGGCTTTGACGGCCAATTTCACATAATCGAACAATTTTAAGGATTAATATGAAAAATAAAATGTACATGGGTGGCCTATTAAATAAATAAATTCCCGTATTTATTTTTTACATCAGATTTTCAGATAAAGCATACTCTATTTTCATTAGTATACTCTATTAAAATTTCATAGGAATAAGAGTTTAAAAAAACCAGCGCAGGGGGTCGCGGCACAGTGGGGATGTGGCATAGTTAGGTCTAGTATAGATTAAATCGGACAGTGATTAAATTCACTATCAAAAAAAAGGCTTTGATGAAAATCTGTAGATAGTGTTTAATTTTAAAATACATGGCCTAAATAATAACAAAATCTTTCTAATTAATACAACAAATATTTATGTTTGATAATTAGGTTACGTATGAATAATCAATAAGTATATTTTAATAAAAATAAGTTGAAAAAAATTGAAAAAATTGAAAAAATTTAGCAATTTTTAAATTAGTAATTTATTTGTAGATTTCCCCCACTTACGAGGAATGAGGGAAATTTTTTCAATTTATGAAGGTAATGATTTTGACTAATACGATTAGTAATCTTTTGACGTATCGTTGAAAGAAATCGGCTTGGTGAGAGCTGACTAAAAGTGGTAACAGACACAAAAAAAAATATATCATAGTAAAACTAATACCTTCTCAGCTTCGCATTGAAATTAAAATTAAGTAAAAATTTATTTTAAAACTTATCTTTTAAAATTATTACATTATAAAATTAATTTTTCCTCTGTACGTTTTTTTATTACTCTGAGAATTTATTATTATTAAAAAAAAATCAATCTGAGTCGTGGCTACTACTTTCTTCTTCGGCGTTATTTACCATTTTAAGCTTCGCATCGAAGCTATAAGTTACACCAGTTTTGAAATGCAGAAAAATAACATTTTTTACGGAATTATAATTTTAAGATATATTTTTTGATTTCTAAAAACAAGGGATTTTTTCAAATTTTCAACACTAATAGCTTCAATTAGATTAAAATTTTGTTTTTATGACGTATTGATAATTAAAATCAGTCCAGTGAGAGCTGAGAATTTTCATGGACTGTCCTAAAAAGAACGTACATCCAGGTAAAACCAATACCTACTTAGCTTCGTATCCAAACTAAAAATTTATTGGGAATAACACATCAATTAATTGAGGAAGACTTTATAACTCAGTCAGTAAAGCATCATGCTTCGTTTCGTAGGTACCGGAGTTCAATTCCATTGCAGTTTTTCCAGTTCTCTCTAATATATGCCATAGCTTTTAGAGAGGAAGATTAACTTAATTTTAACAACTATATTTACTTATAATTATTAACTATATTACACATCACATCACTTTGTAGTTAACATAAAATAGCTGTTTCTCTTAATTATATAATCTCAAGACAGAGATTAAAGTACACTATTATTTGTTTTTCCTTTGGGTAATAATAACTCTTTCAAGGAGACGGGGACAACATATAGTTAAGCAGACGTCGAGTTGCTTTCGATTTTTGGTTTTGACCAAGATCCATGAATATAAATTGTGTACCTCTGACAATGGATTAATTTTAAGTGAGCAAAATTATATAAAAATGTAAGTTAAAAAGAAAAATATTTGTTATGTTGTGTAGTCACAAGAAATTTATTAAACAATAATAATTAAAACAGCAAATACTCCATTAGTAGTCAATTAATAGATCTTTACATTGAAATACAGTAATGCACATCACATTAAATGTTTAACCAAATCTGAAAAAAAAAATTATTATTTTCTTTCTACTAATATAAATATTTCTTTTAACATTGTATAAAAAATATTGAGATACAAAACATTTTTATAAAAGTAAAAATATATTGATTATCAACGTGATAATCATGAACTGAAACCAACATTTTTTATAGGTTCGAGATCAGGTTCTTCTTATATTTAAAATATAAGTTCCGAGGCTGATTAATGTAAGTAGTAATAAAATATTTATTCTGATATTTGGAAGAACTAAATTGAGGTTTATGATTGATATAAATTCGATGACCAAAATAAAAATTATATTCGTCATATATATTAATATATTATCATTATACATTTTCGTCTTATAGACGATTTATATTAAAATGTATTTTAGTAAAGAAATAATTCTTATGCATATCCCACCCAAAACAAAATTTCAAAAACATATGTATAATAACTTATTACGATTAAAAATATTCTTCAGGGAGACTTTAAATTAAAATGTAACCCTCATAACAATACAATACTCACCCTATACTTTTAAAGAGTAAAAATATATAACGAAAATATTTTAAAAAGTGATTTTTTTTTTAGAAAGGGATAGTTTTGAAAAATAGCATTTGAAGATTTAGTACTGGTGAAGAGCATGGTACTGATTAGCGATTCTCTATTGTTACCATATCGAACAAATAAGAATTTTTTTATGTTGTGCATTCCTTTCGATTATAAGTAAAAACTATAACAACTCAAAAAATATAATATATAATGATAGAAATCATACAAAACTGGTTATTGACTAGTCAAAATTTTATTTAGACTGTTCTCCATTTAATTAATATGTTCACATTAATTTAATTAAAATAAACTTTTCATTTTTCATGGTTCAATATAATAAGTAAATTTTTAATCTGTGTATATGATAAATAAATCATTATTTAACAAAAAAATGGAGGGCAGTACTTTTAAAAAATTACACTGTAAATTAAAACACATATCATTACTGATTTGACAATAACTTGTAAGTGACATTTTTTTAATTAATGAAATTTTAGATATTATTAAACTCATATTTTCAAGAAGAATATGATTTTATATAAGTTTATTTTTGTGTATTTTGATTTTTTCCCAATTATAAAACCAATTTAACTGTAGCAAACATCTGCATACTTAATTATTTAATAAAAATATGGGGGTGGTACTATGCTCAAATAATAACTCTGTATATAAAAGGTGATTTTTTTTTTTTGAAGAAAGAATTAAAAAGATTAAACGAATATTTGCGAAACGGTGAAATCAAAATATCTTTTTAAATTGTTTTTACTTAATGGCTTTCCTTAATGAAAAAGAAAGTTCATACTTTTACACAACTTTATTGGAAAAAATAATTGAAATATTTATCGAAAATTAATTTATTTTTATAATAATATTATAATTAAATACTCTCTATTTTTTTTTTTTTTTTTTGAGCAAATAAAATTAAGGAATTTGTTTGGAACATATTTGTTTTTAAATGTCTAACTTTTATTTTAGTTGTTAGGTTGATAGTCTAAAACAAAAGTTTTATTTTTAATATAAAAAATTACCTTCATGTTTAATATATTCATCGTTTACTTTTGCCATTATACCAAGAAGCTCGTTCTGCATTTTGTCACCGAAGTTACATAATAGAAGTAGTGTACTTAGTTCTACCGCAGAAATATGATCTTTTATTGATGAAAATTTCACAAAGTCAGCTGTTTGCTTAACTTGATCCCCATAATCTTCAAACAATAATTTTCTTGCAAAATTTATTGATATTTCATCATTTTCTAATTGAATATAGCATGTATTAGTGTAATTAAATGAGTTTTTTTGATTATTTATTGTGTAATATTTTTATTTATATTTGAATAATAAACGCCTATTAGGCATAAAGTACAGACAAAATGAACACAAAAGAGTATACATATAGGTTTAACAAAAGTATAAGAATAGATAATAACAATATATGAAAATAACATACAACCAAAAAAAAAGCATATACAGATAGTACATAGTTCTAATTAGAGTTTATTAATATGAAATCGATGCACTAAATACAATATTCCCTTAAACAATTTTTCATTTTATGGGGCTTATGGAAAAAGAAATCAAAGTTTTCGATTTTATTAGCTAATGACAACATCCGGTTTAGCAGTGTGAAGATACAGTAGTTACGCTTGAATGTAGGAACATAGAATGTATAAGTAGACCTTAATTAGAATTTCGGGACGTTGAAAGAAATTAGGGATAAAACCTCAGGACAATCAATATTAGAATTTAACAATTTATACAGCCAGTTCAAATCATTAAATTGCCTTCTAAATTCTAGCGTTTCAATATTAAAATCTATTGCTACAGATTTTAATGTTTGATCGATTCTATTTGTCTTATATGCTAACATCCGTAAAAAGCGATTTTGAATGTGTTCTAATTTTTGAATTTGGTAATCCTGGTGTGGGCTCCAAATTATTGATCCATATTCTAAATTTGAATATTGTTACAAGTTTAGTTTTAAGAATTAATATTATTTACTTTTTAACTGCATCTATAAATTTTATTCACTCTCATAACAATACAATACTCACCCTATACTTTAAAAAGAGTAAAAAAGTATAACGAAAATAATTTAAAAAGTGATTTTTTTTTGGAAAGGGATAGTTTTGAAAATTAGCATTTGAAGATTTAATACTGGCATGAAGCACGGTACTGATTAGCGATTCTCTATTTTTACCATATCGAACAATTAAGAATTTTTTTTATGTTGTGCATTCCTTTCGATTATAAGTAAAAACTATAACAACTCAAAAAATATAATATATAATGATAAAAATCATACAAAACTGGTTATTGACTAGTCAAAATTTTATTTAGACTGTTCTCCATTTAATAGTAAAATAATATTTATAGGTTCCCATTAATCTTTTAAAGTTCCTCCAAAAGACTACCCTTATGAATAATTTTTTACTACAACAAACTTAACATTTATTATGACTCGTAAAAAAAAAAAAAAGATTTTAATATATACGTTAAAAAAATATATATATTAAAAAAAAAAAGGAGGTACTGTGACTAATAAATCACTCTATATATATGTTTTTTTTTTAAAGAACAAATAATACAATTATTAAATGAATATTTGTAAAACGATGAAATCAAAATAGCTGTTTAATTTTTTTTCGCTTAATATCGGATTATTTAAATTAACACAAATGTTGATACTTTCACATAACTTTCACGGAAGGAATATTTGAAATATATATTGAAAAATCATTGATTTTATAAAGATATATTTAAGTATTCTATACATTGTTTTGAGTAAATCAAATATAAAATGACATTTAGGCATGTTTCTTGGATTAAAAATATTTTTAAATGTCTAACTTTTATTTTAGTTGTAAAATCTAGAAAATAATTCTTATTCACAATTAAAAAAATTACCTTCTACTAAATTATCTTTTGTATCCAAACTTTGTAAAATTTCGTTTAATATATGGGAATCTAATTTATAATGATAAAACAAAATTCGTACAAATAATGTAGGAATATATCCATCCTTATTTGCTAATCTTCCCAAATCTATAGTTAATTTTTTTAAATGTTCACCATATCCATCATAAAATAATGTCATTGCAAAATCCATTGTGATTTCTGTATCTTCTAATTGAACATAAATTAAACATTTTTGTAAAATTAAATTATTTTCTTAATTTTTCAATTTCTACAGTTGGTAAGATATTAGTTTTAAGAATTAATATTAATTACGTATTCACTACATCTATAACTATTATTTAGATTATGAATTTAAATAACTTTAAATAATAGTTATTATTAAAAAATTTAATAATATGTATAAGAATGTGAAATTATTGTATAAAAATGTGCTTTAACGGATAAATTTAATCAATTTGGATATCTTCTTGTAGTTTACAATGCTATTTCATGAAATAAGTCTGCCTAAAAATAATTTATATAATTTAAAATTTTCGTAACTATAAATATTATTTGGTTTCTATAAAATAGTTATTTTTAACTTAATTTTTTAATTAAGGTACTTATTTAGAAAATTTTTCCGGGCCTAACGAACGAAATATATGAATTTTAAGTTGTTAAAAAGTTTGAAATATGATGCTATTATGTATTATAAATATATTAAAGTATAGTCATAGTATGTCATAAAAAAGTTATAAAATATTATTTAAATTAATTTCCTTAAAAACTAATCAAAATTTTTCAATTTGGGATAAATAATTGGCTATTGAATATTTTCAATTTTTTTTTTATTTAACTAATACTTTTTTACAGCAAAATTGGAGAAAATTTTGAAAGTATATATATTTTTAGTCATTAATCAATTATATTTTTAAATATGAAAATTAGGCTGAATATTTTCAATCATTCAAATATGCGAAATATAAAATCATAGTTAGTTAACAAAAATTAGTTTATACACTTTTTACATTTTATGCTCTCGTTTAGTGATGTAAAATTACAATGATAATCTTTTTTGAGAATATTCTCAAAAATGAGAATGTTCTTTTTAACTTGTATTCATTATATACTACAATATTATAAAATAGTCCTGAAATGGCCAACAAGTATAAAATTGATCACTTCCTCTTTAGCTTTAGATAATTAAATCAAACGAAGATAGGGATAAAATCTACTTTTCTGGAATAAAAGTTTACCAATTATTCAATTTTTTGTTTTAGTGTATAAAAATACTTTAGAGTTATATTTAGAAGCAATCAATTTTATATTTGACATCCAAATTATTATACAGTAATTATATAAAATGTTTATTGACTGAGAATGTTTAGATGATATCTAGAGTATTTTCTTGAAAGATTTATTATTTTTAGTAATTGAAATACGAATGAAACCTTAAGATGCCATAAAAATGCAAAAACAAGAAGTCATAGAATGATTTCTGACACAAATATTTTTAGAGAATTTATGATGTTTGTATTATTATGCAACTATCAACCAAAAAAAAATAAATTATTATTTTTCAATCATAAATTTTTAATAAATAATCTTTAGGTTTGATTAAATATTATATTAATCAATATAATATATTGTATTTTTTTTTTTTTTGAAAATATACAATCTGTACATTATATTCGTACAATAAGCATATAGGATAACTTAACAATTAATTTACAATTCACAGTTAAACATGGTTGGAAATCCCTCCAGTGATGGAACGCCAATTACTGAAAAGTGTTGTTTGTCTATGTTAGCACCATTTTCTTTTTAGGTGACGCAAGGGTTTTCAGGAAGATTATTTGAGGCCAGGTCGGCGATATATTATATTATTCAAAATAATCAACTATATATATCACATTTTTATGTTTAATTCTTAGTTTTTTTTTCATATATATATTTTCATATTTCACGACCCACATTTAAATAGACGAATTTTTGATTAAATACGGCTTAAATATTTGGTCATTGAACATTTTCAATTTTTTTTTTATTAAACTAAAATTAATTAGAAATAGTAATTAAACTAATATTATTGTAGAAAATTATGGAAATATGTATTTTTTAGTCAATAAACTATTATATTTTTAAATATTAAAATTAATCTGAATATTCTAAATATGCAAAAATATAAAAAAAAAATTTCTATATACTTAGTGATCGTCAAAATTTCTTACTTCCATTGAATTGCATTAAGTCAATAAAAATATGTAAGGAACACTTAAGCTAAATTTTACACTTCTTATATTTTTTGTTCTCGTGTAGTGATTTTAAATTACTGTAATAATCTTTTTTAAGGGAATTTTTGTAAATGTTTTTAAGGTTATTCTCAAAAGACGAGGATGTTCTTTTTAACTTGTTTTTATTATATGTGACATTATTGTAAAATGATCCTGAATTGGTTTACAAATATAAAATTAGTCACTTCCAAATTTATGTATTTAGTATTTAATATATTAATTATAATTTTTAATGAGAGTGAGATAGCACAAGTAATTAATAAAAACATAATTAATATTAATAATTACTTGCTCTTTGTTATTTTATTTATAAGTCTGTTTTATAAATAATAGTTATACTCACATTAAATATCTTAATTCATTACCAAATCAATTATAAACAAAAATTTTATTATAATTACTCATGTCCTCATAGTCATCACTAATATCTTTCCCATATTCTTTTCGACATACTTCAACCATGTCTTTAAAAGCAATCTTATTATCATTATATGAATCTGCTAATAATAATATTGATTTTACTCGATTCCAAACAATTTGAATGACACTTAAATTATGGTTTTCCTAAAAAATGATCTGTACATTTTAGTTGTATTTGGTAAAACAATTGAGTCAAATTTTTCGCTTCTTATTTATGAGCCATTTTTTTTTAAATTAATTTGAGTTTTTTTAATTATACCTTAGAAGTATGAAAATATTATTAAAAATTATATATTATTAATTTACTGAAAAAAAATTTTTTTTTTTCAAAAAATGTAAAAAATCTACTATATTGTATTACTCTTGTATTTTCTAAAGTACAACTTGGTTAATAATTTGTTAGCAAAAACATCTTTTTATATTTCATAATTAAATTTTTAGATTTGCTATCATAATAAAATCAAAATTATCTTTAATACAAGCTCGTAGCATACGACCCATTTAAACCATAAGAAGTTCAATGTGAAACGATTCATGAAATATAACTGCAGATTTAAAAAAAAAATAAAGAAACATACAACTAATTTAAAAAGTCAAACCAAAAAAAATGTATACTCAAAAGTTCAGCTTTTATTTTTTGAAAAATTACAATCAAATTCAACTTTCAAAAACCAAAAAATGGTAATAACTTGATGAAACAGTCTCAAATTTTGCACAACTCTTATTAATCATAAAATCATTTTAGAAAAGTTAAATAAGAATTATATTTTTTATGATAACTTTACTGTGTAATTATTGCTTAATAACTAATTGATAATTATCTCTAAAACTAAATTTGATAGAAAAGATCTAAAGCCAAATTCAGAATCAGCGTTGAAATTATTAACAGTATTCATATAAAAATTTTAAACAAGAAAATAGTTGGTCTATTGTGTAATCAAAATCAGTGGCGACTGGTGGTTTGAACGACGGGACGATTGCACCACTTACTAAAATGAATTAAAATAAAAAAATTAATTGTATATTCTTAATATTAAATTTTTAAAAATATTTTTTATTAAAAATGCAATTTTTTAAATAGTAAAATAGTTTTAATACATTATGTGAAATGCGTGCGTTTCAGCTGCAATCTTATGTAAGACCGGCAGCGTTGTTTTTATGGTAAAATATTACTATATTACCACAGACTATATGAAAACAGATAGTTCACTTAGCCGAGAACAATAGAAAAAAAAATCAAGCTCTCTGATTGGGCAGAAGACAAAGCAGTAGAGACTGTTGTACAATTTCATATTATTGTGCAAATAGTTTACAATAATATTGTACAATTCCTTTATCAGTTACAAAAATTATCAATGATATTGGAATTTGTGACACTATTGCATTTTAAATACTTGAACGATAATTAACTATAACTGTTCGTATACTTATTTTTTTTAAGTAACGTTTAGTCTTAATAAAAAGGTTTTTTGTTAAATATTGTCTGACATTATGAATATTGTGTTTAATTTGTATAAAAGTTGAAATTTTGTGTCAACGTTTAGTTAGTTATATCTATAATAATCTATTATATATAATTATTAAATTACCGGCATTTCAACTTGTTCTTTAGGAGTATCTTCATTATTATTTGGCATTTCATAGTGTTCTTTTGGAGTATTTTCATTATTATTTAATATGTCATCATGTTCTTTTGGAGAATTTTCATTATTATTTAATATGTCATCATGTTCTTTTGGAGAATTTTCATTATTATTTGGTATGTCATCGTGTTCTTTTGGAGAATCTTCAGTTTTTGATAGTCCATCATTAAATATAATCGGGACACAAAAAGTTGATATAATGCAATATGCAAACAGTAATATTATAAATTGAATATTCATCATTTAATATTTTCCGTTTCAAATTTAATTAATTTTAAATAGGTAATAAGATATTAATGTATAAATGAATAAATGAAAAATTATAGTATTTATACAAAAAATTATTTAAATATAAGGACTCAAATTCTTATTAAAAAAGTTAAATTTTTTAATAGATTCAGAAATAAATGCATAATTTTCTTAAAATTATTATTGTTTACTTAACAAATTATTTTTTAATGTTTAAAATAATTACATTAACATAACTTTTGATTAATAGGTGTCATATATACGAAGTTGTCTTAAACCAATTATTTTTAATTTTAAAAATAAATTTTTTATATTTAAATAATTATATAAAAATTTTTAATAAACAAATATCATAAATTATAACTAATTTAAACTATTAACGTTATAATTTGAAAAAATTTTTTCGGTATCGATACTAAGAGGAAATATTTTAAAAATAAATATTAAAATATCTTATTCTAATTGTATTAGCTAAAAGAATATTTAATTATTTAAATTTCATAAATATTAATAATATAAGAGTATTCAAAGGTCTTAAAGAGTAGAAAGTTATTTAAGGAGACTATCATCACAACACCATTTTGAATGTTCCACGTTCCACGTATCTGTACACCCCTACCTGAATAGGGGTGGTTTTAAATGTATATAAAAACCTCTTCATAAATGTCACTTTGCAGAAAGAAATTTACAAACTCAAAGTACATTTCAAAAATGTATTTTTATGTTTTTTAACGTTATTATAAAATATTTTTCGATTATAAGGGGGTTAATTAAAAAAAAACTTATTTTAACAAAACCCAGCACAGTGATGATATCTGACAGTGATTAAAATCACTATCATAAAAAACGCTTCGATGCAAATCTGTAGATAGTGTTTAATAAAAAAAAAAAATTTCTCAAAAAAGTAGGTCGAATGAGAGCTGAGAAAACAAATGATAGCTACAAAAAAAAATCAGATAGTAAAATAATATTAATATGAATTTCTTCTCACGAAAGGAGACTACAGTAATGGAATCCTTGATATTTATTGAAGTTATTGAATCTAAATGAGATAAAAATCAAATGAGTTAAACATTTTTTTTTAACTCAAAAAGAATTAAAAAAAAAAAATTCTGTGCCAAAGTTGTGAAAGATCCAAATGTTACCGTCTCAAAAACCGTACATCTCATTCGTCACTTAATAAAAACAGAAATTTAGATAGTTAAAATTTTAAAGTTATTTTTCTCGACTTCAAAAAAACAAAAAAATTTAAATATGATTAATTTTTTATATTATGTCATTTAGATTGATATAATATTTATGAAAATCAGTGTAATCCCCTTATAATAAAATAAAATACATAACCAAAAATATTAACACAATAATAGCATATTTTTGAATACGGTAGGCATTTTCGCATAGAAGATAGATTTGTCGGGACAAATTTTTTTTTTTTTCATTTTATAATACATAAAATAAGCTTTAATTTGATATATGTTTAAAGGACGCAGTATTTCCGCAACATTTTCAAAAATTAAGTTTAAAAAGTTAGTTTTTATAAAAGAGTTGCTATTTTAAATCCCCCCCAATAAGCAGGTTAAGTGTTAGATTTTCAAAAAAATTATATCAAATGAAACGGAAAGATCTAAGGTTTTAGTATAAAAAAAAATTATTTTAATTTGTTTGACGTATTGTTAAAAGAAATCGGTCCAGTGAGAGCTGAGAAAAAGTGGCAACAGACATAAAAAAAAAAAACACATCATGGTAAAATTAATACCTTCTCAGCTTCGCATCGAAGCTAAAATTTGTCCCGACACCTTATCTATTATGTGCAAATTGTTGTCAAAATTTAAAAAAAAATGTAATATTTGCGATAAAAATCACCTTCTATAAGGATGTTTTTTTTACATAAAACTGCCATAACTTTTTCAAATATTAACAAATTAAAATAATATTTTTTTATAATAAAACCTTAGATCTTTCATTTGATATAATTTTTTTGAAAATCTAACACAACCTGCTCACTGGGGGGGATTTAAAATAGAAACTTTATTACAAAAACTAACTTTTTCAACCAAATTTTTGAAAATGTTCCTGAAATACTGCGTCCTTTTAACATATACCTTGTAGTGTTTTGGTGTTTATATTTATTACAAAAATACTACAATTAAAATTTATAATAATTAATAATTTTTAATAATGAAATATGATGTATACATACATAAAAAAAAGTACAAATAAAAAGTGTCANACATACATAAAAAAAAGTACAAATAAAAAGTGTCACTGGATTGACGAACAGCGCGATACTAAAAATAATACACGGAGTGATATCGTACTGCAGTACATTTAAGATAAAACATATAAACATATATAAACGCATTCATTGTGACATGTTATTTAACATCTTTGTTAATCCCTACATTACCCCCTTTCCAGTGAAAACGATAATTTTACGTTAAACATACATAGTTACAAATATCAAATATAAAAATACAAATACAAATATAAAAGTGATACAATTCACAATTTACAAAAACCTTACGGGGAGGCGGATGGTTCTTCCTGACTTGGTTTGTTTTGTTTGTATTATTGTTGGTCTTGTAGTTGTATTTCTCTGGTTGTGCTGGTTCGTTGTTATTGATAGATTTGTGTTATTATCTTCATTTTCGTTGAAACATGGCTTCAGTCTGTCTATTGATATGATACATTCTTTTTGCCTAATTAATAATTTAAAGGTTTTTTCGTATCGTTGAACAATTTTGTACGGCCCTTCATATGGTTGTTCTAGCGGTTTCTTGACCCGGTCGACCCGAACGAAAACGTGTGAACAGGATGCTAGATCTTTATATATAAAAACTTTTTTACTTCCGTGGTTTGAAGTTGACACTGGGCGTATGGTTTCCATTGTTTTCTTTAGTGTTTCAGCAAAGGAACAAGGGTCTGTCGCCACTGATGACTGCATAAAAAACTCATTAGGTAATCTAATCGTACTTCCAAATAC